GAAAGACTACGATGCCAACCGGCTAGTGGCGGGGCAGCTGCAGCTCGCCTCGGGGACGGTGCTGCTGATCGACGAGACGGGGATGGGCGAGGGCCAGCTGACGGCCGACGGCTTCAGGACTGGAGGGCGGGAGGAGGTCGAGGAGGTCCTCCTCCTCCTCCTCCTCCTCCTCCTCCTCCTCCTCCTCCTCCTTCTCCCCCTCCTCCTCCTCCTCCTCCTCCTCCTCCTCCTTCTCCCCCTCCTCCTCCTCCTCCCCTCCTCCTCCTCCTCCTCCTCCTCCTCCTCCTCCTCCTCCTCCTCCTCCTCCTCTCCCCCCCCTCCCCCTCCTCCCTCTCCTAGCTATGGTAGCGGTGGTGGAAACTCGGTCCATCGAAAGCACCTGTCGGACGGGGCTGGGACGAGCAGAAGTCCTTTCCCAGAGCGCTCCGGAACGCTCTCAGAGCGCTGCGGAACGCTCTGAGAGGGCCGCGGCGCCCGACGCATGTTCGTCCAGAGCCACCAGACACGCAGAGATGCTCCGTGCTCCTCGCCCGAATGTTCATCCTCGTCCTGGCCTCGTCTGGGTGCCGACGAGGATGGGCTCGCTCCTCTGCCTCCGGCGCAGCCCTCGGTCCTCGTCCCAGGCCGCGCCAGGCTCGGGGCAGAGGCGCCCAGGAGCCAGGCGCCAACGTTTTTGCTGCTTCCCTCTCGCTCGCTCTCGCTCTCTCTCTCGCTCTCTCTCGCTCTCTCTCTCTCTCTCTCTCCAGAAGCGGCCTGTGCGGCGCCCCGTGCAGCCCCAGAATCGGGGAAACGTAAGACTCGAGTGCAGTCAACCCGAACAGTAAGGATGGGCAGCCTTCCCAAGGGTACTCTTGCATGCTTGCCTCCTCGGTCCATCCTTGGCCACGTTCGTTGGCCGCGCCCCGCTCGAATAGCTTTGAAATGGGCGTCTCAGGCTCTTGCATCCTTATCGCGCATCCTTACTATCCTGGTTGACTGTAAGCCAGAGCTCAGGCTTGCCGACGTCTTCTCTTGCGAGCGCGTCCTGGACCTTGACGCTCCGCGGCTTTCGCGGGAGGTCTGCGCCGGGAGCCTGCGGACAAATTTCCGATGGGGTCCCGTCGTTTCCAGGAGGACCCCGTGAGGCCAACCCGCGCCCCCCGTACCCGAGCCCTGCGCCTCCCCGGCGGCAGCTCCGCGGGTCAGAGGAGAGACAGCGGGCGACTCCCGGGTGGCAGGTGCGCGCGCCCGAGCGCCACCACCCCTGCCGGGGGGCGACGCTCCGGCGTGCCGCCAACCCAGGGTCGGGCCCCGCGTAGGTGGATCTCTCGGCGGCGGGGTCTCTTCTCGTGCCTCCGAGCGGGCCCCGGAGCCCTCCTGCGAGGCCGCCGCGAGCCCGCACACGGCGGCGCGGCGTATCCACCTTCCACGGGCCTATCTTAATATACGATGGCTCCGATTCGTCGCAGTCAGAGCCAGGTCGCTCAGCTGAAGGGGCACGTGCGGTGCAGACCCATGCCAGGACACGCCCTGCTTCGATGGTTCTGCGATGGTTTCTTGGGTTCTTGGGTTTTTGGGGGTTTGGGTGGCTCCTGGGTTTGTTGGGCTTCTTGGGTTTCGATGGTTCTGCGATGGAAGACGCGAGGTCCCCATACACAACACGTCAGTGGACGTCCTGGGGCCTCAGGGCTGGGTTTCTTGTGGAGGGTTTCCTGTGGTCGAGCTCCTACGGTGTGCGTGTTAGTCTCAGAGGCTCCTCGTCGTGTCCCTTCGCTGCAGCCCAGTCTTTGCACCGTGCGCCTACAGCCCTGCTCTTGATCTATCCCTTCTCGTCCCTGATCCCTGATCCCTCCTGCCTCCTCGACTCTCCGTCCTGATCCCTCCTCCTTCCTTTCTCCGCTTTTCCACGCCTCTCACCGTTCCCCCCACCCCATCCTCTCTCCCTCCTCCCTCTTCCAACCTACCCTCAGTGCTCCTCCCTCGTCGCCCATCCCTCCCTCCTGAGTCCTTGCCCCCCCCCCCTCTTCGTCATATCCCTCCTCCTTTCTCCCTTCTTGCCCTCCTCCCTTCACCCTGCCCTCCTCCCACCTTTGCCTCCTTCCCTCCCTCCTCCCTTCTGTTCTCTTCCTGCCCCCCCAGCATCCCAGGGTTTTCACCCTCCTCCTTCGCCATCTGCCTCCCCCGCTAGTGTGCTGCCGCTGCTCCCCCTTCCGCACCGCCCAAGCTGCTTGGCAGTCAGCGCACCCGGCCCGAGGAACGCCAACGCTGTCAGCACCCTCGTCACCGAGCGAAGCCTCGTCTGCGACTTTATGTGCGAGGTCAGGGGCCCAATCTGACGCCTCTCGATGGCGTCGCGCTGGGGGGGGGTCTCTCGAGCGCGAGCAGGGGGCGTGCAGAGGTTTGGAGCTCGACGCACTTGCACGCAGATGGGGGCGGGGCCACTGTCAAGCAGCGAGTTACCCAGGTGCGAGCCTCGCACTGTCGGTGCGTGTCGTGCCGACGCGGCGGCGACCCCAGCGCGGGCGTTCAAAGTTGAACGCCGCCAGTGGCCCAGATCCTGCCACTGTGGAACGATCTGGCGATCGAGAAACCGTCGATCGTTCAAGGTTGAACGGTCCACGCGGTGTTAGAAACCCTTGCCGAGGCCGCCACGACACGACCCCGCCGTACCCGTGCAGTCGGATCGCTGCAGAAGGCACCCTTTTCGTTGGGGAGGGGCTCGGTGCTCCTAGCTTGTGTTGCAGCTTGTCTTGGGTTTCCCTCAGGGTTTCTGTGGGAAGCCGAAGTTCAACGCATGGGAGAGTTCGAAGAAGAAACAACGCCATACACATAAACTTTTGGCGCTCCGCGCGGATTTCTTGGATCCGCGCTGGACCCCATGCCAAGAAACACCCTGCTCGCGTCCAGGGGGCCCTGGTTTCGTGGGTTCGCTGGTTTTGCTATGGAGGGCGTGGCGTTCTCGCACCAAAAATCAATGGATGTCCTGTGGTCTCAGGGTTGGGTTTCTTGTGGAAGGTTGCTTGTGGATTGGCCTGCTCTGTACGGTGAAGTCGGGCATGCCCCCTTCTACAGGAGGAATCTCCAATAACAGCAGAACAACAATGTCTGGCGACGCTTGCTCGTGCTCTTTGGACCATCTTTGATCCTGCTTTGACTGCTTCTTGTTTAATCGCTTCGCTCATTCCGCCGGCCCGTATTGTGCCATCACAGGCGTTTGCCTGCGCGTTCGTGGCCTCTTGAGGTCTCTGATGACGATGACGATGATGATGCTGATGATGATGCTGCTGCTGATGAAGATGATGCTGATGCTGATGCTGATGCTGATGATGATGACGATGATGATTATTATGATGATGCTGCTGATGATGCTGATGCTGATGCTGATGCTTCTGCTGATGCTGCTGATGATGATGCTGCTGAAGCTGATGATGATGCAGCTGATGATGATGCTGATGATGATGGTGATAATGATACTGATGCTGCTGCTGATGATGATGATGCTGCTGATGATGATGCTGATGCTGCTGCTGATGATGCTGATGATGCTGCTGATGATGATGCTGATGCTGCTGCTGATGATGATGCTGATGATGTTGATGCTGATGCTGATGATGATGAAGAAGAAGAAGCTGATGATGCTGCTGATAATGATGATCCGTAAGGGCTTCGCCCCCTGCCGCCGGCCCCCTCTCTCGGAGAATGGGCCATGGAAGAGCTAAGTCATGAGGCCTTGGCGCTGTCGTGAAGCAGTATCGAAACTTCATGCGAAGCCGATTCGCAATCAGCAAAACCAACTGATCACAAGAGGGGTTACCACACCTGGCGATTGGTAAGACGTGTATGGTTTACGGGCTTGGTTACCACACCTTGCGATTAAAGGGCCGAGGGAGTTCTCGCAGTTTGGGTTACCACGCCTTGCGATGGATGTGCGTGAAGGGTGGCACCGAATTTCAGAAATGTGGCAAATCCCCTGTGTTTTTGGACCCTGACCCCGCGGATCTGCGTGAGGGGTGGCACCGAATTTCAGAAATGTGGCAAATCCCCTGTGTTTTTGGACCCTGACCCCGCGGATCTGCGTGAGGGGTGGCACCGAATTTCAGAAATGTGGCAAATCCCATGTGTTTTTGGACCCTGACCCCGCGGATCTGCGTGAGGGGTGGCACCGAATTTCAGAAATGTGGCAAATCCCTGTGTTTTTGGACCCTGACCCCGCGGATCTGCGTGAGGGGTGGCACCGAATTTCAGAAATGTGGCAAATCCCTGTGTTTTTGGACCCTGACCCCGCGGATCTGCGTGAGGGGTGGCACCGAATTTCAGAAATGTGGCAAATCCCCTGTGTTTTTGGACCCTGACCCCGCGGATCTGCGTGAGGGGTGGCACCGAATTTCAGAAATGTGGCAAATCCCATGTGTTTTTGGACCCTGACCCCGCGGATCTGCGTGAGGGGTGGCACCGAATTTCAGAAATGTGGCAAATCCCTGTGTTTTTGGACCCTGACCCCGCGGATCTGCGTGAGGGGTGGCACCGAATTTCAGAAATGTGGCAAATCCCTGTGTTTTTGGACCCTGACCCCGCGGATCTGCGTGAGGGGTGTCGATTTCGAGCCCCCCCAGCAATTCAGACAACGCGCCCAGGGGGTGCTAAAAAGCCGGTTTGGGCCTCCCCCCCCCTCGCGCGGTCAATCAACTAGTTACAGTAACCAGCAATAAGTCAACTAGTTACAGTAACCAGCAAGAAGCAGAACTGTAACACTGGAAACTACAAGCTACAACTGGTACAGGAAACTGCGAATCACGGGCCTACAGCCTGGTGGCCCCACAAGGGGGCCGGCGGATTATGATGATGATGATGATGATGATGATGATGATGATGATGATGATGATGATGATGATGATGATGATGATGATGATGATGATGATGATGCTGATGATGATGATGATGATGATGATGATGATGATGATGATGATGATGATGATATGATGATGATGATGATGATGATGATGATGATGATGATGATGATGATGATGATGATGATGATGATGATGATGATGATGATGATGATGATGATTATTGCTGCTGCTGATGAATGATGATGATGCTGATGCTTTTGCTGCTGCTGCTGAGGAGGAGAGGAGGAGGAGGAGGAGGAGGAGAGGAGGAGGAGGAGGGGCGCGGCAGCACAAGGGCCAACGCCCAGCCAGGCGGGCCAGCAGCAGGAGGCGGTGCCACCAGGGGAAAGCGGGCCCTCGCACCCCTCCCGCTCCCCCCACCCCGCATGGAGTAGATCTTGGCTGTCTTTGGCGCCCTTTTCGAGCAGGTGGAGCCTCCCTCATGGGACGCGCTGGTGCAAACAGTCGCGCTACGCAGGGGTCCAGAGCCAGACCCCCCCCCTCCCCCCCCCTTCCGCCCAATGTCGAAACGCCGAATGAACAAACGACTGCTAGACTGCTATGATGTTCCAACCTACTTTAGCCTTGATCACCAGAAACAAGTTCGAGCACCACGAAAGTACCGAACGCTCTAGGGTTTTCACGTCTTGGGCCCTGGGAGGCGAGACTCGTTCGACACTGCTTCGACACTTCTCTCGGCGCTCGAAATTATTTCTGGGATGTTGCTCTTAAGTTCGATGGGAGCAACGTAACGCGAGGACTCGGCACCGTCGGGCCGAGGTATAATTTGGTGGCGAACGATGGGATTCGACGCAGGCTCGACGCGGGCAGGGCCGCGACGGGACAGGCGAGGTTCCCCCGAGGATGCAGCACGAGGCCCTGGGGTCTCTCAGCGCGCTCGGGCTCCTTCGGCAGCAAAAGAGGGGAGCCTGGTATACCCTCTCCATCCTGATGCCGCCTGTAGCACCGATCAGCGTCGATTAGCGTCTTAGAGCCGATTAGGTAAAGCCGATTCAGAGCGTCGATCTAGCGTCGATTTGCATCGATTAGCGCCGATTAGCGTCGATTCGCTTGAGCCGACAAGATGGTACGGGAGGCTCCCATGAGATGCCACCGAAGTATCACATCGAGGTCGGTTCTGGGAAGGTGCCCTCGTGCTCGTCGTGTCTGTTGGATGCTTTGGTGCGTCCTGGGGAGGGCACCCTGGGACGTTATTCGGTTTGTGCCGGCGGAGGGTCTCGCGTTCTTGAAGGCTGTTCTTCGGTCCCAGGTCCAGCTGCAGCGCGATGACTCCGTACCCCACCCCAGGTAGGCGCCCACGACCTCCCCAGGGCACGCAGACGTGGGCCGTTGTGGCCCGTGCAGCCAGGCCGCGCTCGCGCCCCTCCCTGCTCGCTGCCGCGCTCGTGCGCGGTCAAGGCACCGGTCACCCGCGGAGCTGGCAGCTCGGCCGGCTCCGCCGGCCCAGCTGCGCCGCAGTCGGCTGCGCTCGGTCGGCCCGGTTCGGTCGGCTGCCGTGTCATTGCCGCGTCGCTGAGCCCTGTCGGCTTCGGTCGGTGCCGGTTTCGCTGTTTGGCGGCTAGGTCCAAGGCCTACAAGCGGCCTGGATCAGTGGGTCGACCCTGCCAGCTCAAGGGTATCCTTGTGTCCTGTGCCTCGCGACACGTGCCTTCTTACACTCCAATGGCGATGTGACCTTCGCAAGGGTCTTGTGTCCTCTCGCGTGCCCTCTCCAATCAAGTCCGACTGTACCCCCACCAGCTGCATCGATTCTTCTGTCGGAGTATCGGAGCCAGCCAGGGCGGGGCCGGCCGAAGCCGATATCGAAACGGACCAGTCGGGTCGACGTGCATCCTGGAGGGCAGCCTCTGTGGAGCACCGCACCCGCGACGACGACGGTTGGCCAGGGCCGTCCACGGCGGCAGCAGAACCGAAGGCCGACGCAACCGGCAGCTCGGCGGCGAGCCCCATCTTTGCTGCCGAAGGAGCCCGAGCGCGGTGAGAGACCCCAGGGCCTCGTGCTGCATCCTCGGGGGGACCTCGCCTGTCCCGTCGCGGCCCTGCCCGCGTCGAGCCCGCGTCGAATCCCATCGTTCGCCACCAAACTATACCTCGGCCCGACGGTGCCGAGTCCTCGCGTTACGTTGCTCCCATCAAACTTAAGAGCAACATCCCAGAAATGATTTCGAGCGCCCAGAAAAGTGTCGAAGCAGTGTCGAACGAGTCTCGCCTCCCAGGGCCCCAAACGTGAAAGCCCTAGAGCGTTTGGTACTTTCGTGGTGCTCGAACTTCTTTCTGGTGGTCGAAGCTAAAGTAGGTTGGGACATCATAGGCCGATCAACGATTCAGGCAACTCGATGGGCCGTGAGGGTAGGATTCGGAATGCGTCGGGCCGCTGATCTTGGCCATGGTGCGGCCCGGTGCGGTCGGACCGAGGCATATGAGATCGAGGTTGGCTCGGGGAGGGTACCCCAGTTCTCCGTGCTGGTTGGATGCCTTGTTGGCATACTGGCGGAGGGTACCCTCGAATGCCCTTCAGCTTGGCTGGCGGAGGGTCTCACGTTCTTGCCTGGGCTTCTTGGGCTTCGATGGCTCTGCTGTGGATGGAGAGCACGACGCTCCCACGCCAAAAAACCCCTGGGCGCCCTGGGGTCTCAGGGCCCGGCTCCTCTTGGCAGGCCTCCTGGTGGACTGGCCTCCCTCGCAGCCGCCGCCTGCGCCAGTCCGCTGCCGCCTGCCGCTCCGATGCTGCCGGCCCCTGCCCTCGTGGCCCCGCGTGCCCCCTCGGCTCCGGCGCGCGGGCGCCACCGGGCCCCTGCCGCCGGGCGCGGCCGCGTGCTGGTGAGGTCAAGCTCCCGCTGGAGCTGCTCTGCGTGGCGGTGTCCCGGCACAGGTCCCTCGTCAAGGAGATGGACGTGGTGCTGCCCCTGCAGCCCTCCCCGCAGGCCGCACGCCGCGGGAGGAGCAGGTTTTTTGGAGCGGGTCAGGACGAGGCAGAGGCAGGAGGGGGAGGGGGGTGCGGAAGCAGACGGGGAGTCCTCGTCCTCCCCTGCGTCCTCGCCCCTGCTTCTCCTCCCCTTGCTCTTGCTCTTCCTCTCCCTCCCTGTCCTCATTCTACTCCTCTTCCTCCTCATCCTCACCCCGCTCCTCACCATCAGCCCACATCCTCCCGATCTCGGCCACACCCTGGGGCGCAGCCGCAGCCTCAAAGCCTCGGCCTCCGGCATCCTCCCCTTCCGCGCCCCCCCCCCGCTCGTCCTCCACCCGGCCCCGCCCGCCCCGCCCTCTCCAGGGGCCCCTCCCCCTCTCCGCTCCCCTTGCTCTCTTCCTCCTCTTCCCCTCCTCGCCCTCCCCCCGTTCACTTCTGCTGGCCATCGTTCCACTCGCCCTCCTGCTCCTCCTGCTCCTCCCTCTCGCTCGCCCTTCCTTCCCTCCTCGCCCTTCCCCCCCTCGCCCTCCCCCCTCGCTCCTCCCTCTCGCTCCCCGTCCGCTTCCGCTGCGGCCGGCCCTCGTTCCGCTTCTGCTGGCCGCCGTCGGGCGCTTCGGCCCCGCCCCCCGCGGCAGCCGAGGCAGGCCGCTCGCGGTGCGTGCTGCAGGCCGATGCCCGCTGTCCGCCGTCCGCTTAAGTACGGTAGGTTTGCGTCGTGTCGACCAGCGGCGGCCCCAGCGCGGGCGTTCAAGGTTGAACGCCGCCGGCGACCCAGAATCGATCGATGTTGAACGATCGGACGTTGCGGAGACGGCCGATCGTTCAAGGTTGAACGATCCAGCGCGGTGTCAGGAACCAACGCCAGGGTCGACACGGCACGGACCTGCAGTAGGGCCTGTCTCTCTACAGGAGGAATATTCAAAGATAGTCCAAAAAGAGTCAGGGGACGGTTTTTGGCCATTGTTTGATATGTTTTGGGGGTATTTTTTGGGGGTGTTTTTATTTTCTGTCCAGAATCCGCTTGTAGGGGGACAGGCCCGACCTAACCGTCCGCTCCTCCCTCCTCCTCCGCCCCTCCCCCAGACGTCGTGTTTTTGTTCACGGCGTCGGCCCACAGAAATTCTGTCTGACCCCTTCCCTGGGATCGGCTCGTCCCATCCCGAGCAGTCTTGTTGACGGTCCCAGGGCCCGGGGCCCCCAGAAGACGAACACGGCCCGAAACCTTCCGTCGTGATTCTTCGGCTTACGCCGCACCGCCGACCACTTGGGGGAGAGTCGCTGTTGTGGCTTCTGGGTGCTGCGTGACTTATGCTTGTATTTATATCGAAGACGCCTACGGCGAATCACCGCCGCCCCCTGCCTTTTTGGAAGCGCCTATGTGGCCGAACGTTGAGGCCAGATCTGCAAAGCTATCGGATCATGTGTTCCCCAAATCGGTTTGGAAAGGCTTCGGGGAACACGTGGGCATCTTGAAGGTCCTCTTGGCCGTCTGAAGGCCATTTTGACTCTTTCGGGCCTTCTTGGAGGACGTCTTGGAGGGCCCTTGGGCCGTCTTTGAGGCCATCTTGAGCGTCTTGGAGGCCTCTTGGGCCGTCTTGGGGGCCTTTTGGGTCCGTCTTGGGCCTCTTGGGCGATCTTTGGGGGCTCTTGGGCCGTCTCGGGTCGTCGGAAGGCCGAACAGAAAGCAAATGCCACAATCCTTCAAAAACTCATGAGAAATGAATGATTTTGGCCTTTTCGGGCCTTCCTGGAGGCCTTCTTGGAGGCCTGTTGGGCCGTAATGGTGGGCTCTTGGCACGTCTGACGCCGTCGGAAGCCGTTTGGGGGGCCTCTCTGGGCCGACTTGGGGCCCTCTTGGGGTGCTCCAGGGCCGTCTTGGAGGTCATCTTGGGCGTCTTAAAGGCCTCCTGGGCCGTCTTGGGGGCCTCTTGGGCCGTTCTGGGGCCATCTTGGAGGCCTCTTGGGCGATCGTTGGGCGATCTTTGGGGGCTCTTGGGCCGTCTCGGTCCGTCGGAAGGCCGAAAAGAAGCAACTGTCAAAATCCTTCAAAAACCTCAGGAACATCAGTGTTTTTGGCCCTCCCTCCCTCCCGCCCTCCCTTTCTCCCTCCCTCCTCCCCTCCTCTGCCCGCTTTGCTCCACCGCGGCCTATCCGTCAGGGGAACTGATAAACATACCGCTATAGTGGGGACCCATGCCAAGAAGCACCCTGCTTGCCTCCAGGGTGCCCAGGGTTTGTTCGGTTTCGATGGTTTTGCTGTGGAAAGCGTGACGCTTCCACGCCAAAAATCAATGGACGTCCTGGGGTCTCCGAGTTGGGTTCCTTGTGGCAGGTTTCTTGTGGTCGGGCCTCCACTGTACAACCTTCCCTTGTTCTCGCCATTTCGGGGCCTCCTGGGAGGCCCCCTTCGCCACCGCCGAATTCGCCTCGAGCTTCCGGTCAGAGCGCTCCCCATGAGAGGTCCAGGGAGTAGCAGTATGGTGGGGGCGTTCGATGAGGAATGTGACCAGGAGGCTGCAGACCCTGGAGGCTGGAGGCTTCCTTACCCGATGAGGGCGGCGATGAGATCCATCACCGATCCACGACTGGAGTTACACCGGCTTCCACACCCGGGGTTCCTTATTGAAGGTTTCATGCAGTGCCCCCACCGTGTCTACCGGTTGGCTTCCCCGATCCCGCCCCGGGGCTCCTGCCCGAAGACCCCCCCCGCACCACGGTGAGCTTCCTCCACGCGCCGACGCCGGCCTCGCCGACACAATCTCTGGGGCAGCGATGGGGGGAGATTCGAGCAGTGGCGAAGCGTCCTGGCTCGCCTATAGGCCTGCCAAATAATGTTCTGAGAACCTCTTGAGTTTCCGCGACATTTCCTTAGAACATTTCTGTCTGGGACCGCCTTGTTTTAACACGTAGGGCTTATGTTCTAAGAGCATTGTTTTTGTTCTTAGAGCATTTCTGGGTTCTAAGAACATTTCGTGGGAGGGATATAGAAATGCTGGGACGGTCGGTCCCTGCTCATTTCGGGGTGGACGCACCGACCTGGAACAGTTGACACGTCGACGATGCACCGACAGTGCATCGTTGATGTCAGGGCGATGTACAGACGACGCACTGGGCGGTCTGTATCGACGACGTATGGACGATACACGGACGATGCATCGGCCATTCGTTGTCGGTGCGTCCCCCCTGTGCGTATCGCCCCCCATCGTTGCTTCTATTTTCTGCTGCCAGCGCCTTCCTGCTTCCTGTGCTTCTGCCCGCACTTCTTCCGACCGACGGGTAGCTGGTGATTTGGGGCCAGGCCAGGTCGATACCATTGCAACGCATGCGCTCGTGCGTGGGGACTCGCGTCGCGATTGCCCGCATCGGGAAGTCTTGAGGAAGTCTGCGAACAAAGCGTTCCACCCCCAGACATGTGAGGTCCTGCCGTGTTCAGCACGGGGTGCCCAGAAGTCCCGACGCTTTCCCCGGGATCGGCTCTTCGTCCCGAGTCGTTCCTTGACGGCCCCGGGGCCCAGCACGGGCCCCCAGATGCCCCAGACGGCCCCGAACCTCCCGCCCTGGTTTTTCCAGGACGCGAGCATGTCTGGGCCTGTGATGTTGCTAGCGTTGATCCCCAGAAATAATCCCCAGCACCAAGAAAGCACCGAGACTGGAGGGCTCTCACGTGCCGGGCCCTGGGAGGGGATGCTCGTTCGACATGTCGTATAAACAATTTTTCGGGTGCTCGGAGGTAGCTCTGGGATGTGGTCCTTAAGTTCGATTGGAGCAACATCAGTCTGGGCCGGCAGGCCGCGCGCACGAGCCCATCGCGGCCGCCCGCGCTGCGCGCCCGCTGGGCTGCGCGCGCGATCGACCGTAGCCCCGGCGGCGGGGGAGCCCCGGCCGCCGCGCGCCGCCGCCTCCTCCGCGCCGCCGACCGGAGGGCAGCGGCCAGGGGGCGGCCTCCTCCTCCTCCTCCTCCTCCTCCTCCTCCTCCTCCTCCTCCTCCGCCTCCTCCTCCTCCTCCCGGTCCTCCCCCTCCCCCTCTTCCTCCTCTCCTCCTCCTCCTCCTCCCTCCTCCTCCTCCTCCTCCTCCTCCTCCTCCTCCTCCTCTCCTCCTCCTCTCTCCTCCTCCTCCTCCTCCTCCCCCTCCCCCTCCTCCTCCTCCTCCTCCTCCTCCTCCTCCTCCTCCTCCCTCCTCCTCCTCCTCCTCCTCTCCTCCTCCTCCTCCGCCTTCCCCTCCTCCCCCTCCTCCCCCTCCCCCTCCTCCTCCTCCTCCTCCTCCCTCCTCCTCCTCCTCCTCTCCTCCTCCTCCTCCTCCCTCCTCCCCCTCCCCCTTCCTCCTCCTCCTCCTCCTCCTCCTCCTCCTCCTTCCTCCTCCTCCCCTCCTCCTCCTCCTCCTCCTCCTCCTCCTCCTCCTCCTCCTCCTCCTCCTTCCTCCTCCTCCTCCTCTCCTCCTCCTCCTCCCCCTCCCCCAGTGTTCAAAGTTGGCGGTCGGTCTGATGAGTTGCACTTCGACCGGAGTCCCCCCCGCGCGTGCCAACTTTGATTTATGGGGAGCGGGGGAGTGTCCACTGATGGTTTCCCCCTGCCCGAGGGGGGCAGCGAGAAGGGGAATGCCTTCTCAGATGGCGGCGGGACTTCTCAGAAGCCCTCGCGCCGTCTGAGAAGTTTTTTGTGCCTTCGGGGACGGCTCAGAACACTTCTCAGACGCCCGGGGAACTTCCGATCCTTCCGAGAAGGTTTTCTCTTTCTCACTTCCCCCCAGGCTCGCCGCCAACAAAAAGGGTCCGAATACACGGGGTCGAAGGATCGCTATGCATCGCCGATGCATCGGCGATGCGGCTCGATGTGGACCCCGACTTTCGTCACGCCGACGTCGCTCAATGCATCGCCGATGCATCGCCGATGCATCGGCGATGCGGCACGAACCTCCGGCCCCCTCTACTCGGACCCCACTCGGGAGGCCTCCAGTAACGCCTCGTAACACCTGCATCCAGTGCCCGAGGCCTCCTGCGCGCGCCCGCTTCCAGGTGATCCTCGTCGGCCGAGCCTCCCTCCCCTCCTCCGCCTCCGCGGCCGCGCTCCGCTCCTCGTCCGCTCTGGCCCGCCCGGCGTTCGGCGCGTCCTGCCGGCCCTGCGGTCGCACTCGGGTCCGCCAGCGCTGCCGACAAGCAGTTTCTGGTACAGTCGCGAGGGTACAAGATCGAGGTCGGTTCGGGGAGGGGCCCCCACACAATTCATCGTCGCTTCCCAGGAAAATATGGGTAGATCTGGGAAGTGGGGGGGAAGACGAAAACCCAGAACATACGGCGAAGTATTGGGAATCCTTGGATGTGTGCGTATTTATTTGTGTGTCCCTGGGCCCCTTCAAGTGTTCTTCAGGGAGGGCACCCTCGGATGCTCTGTGTTTTTTTCTTGGCTGGTGGAGTGTCTCGTGCTCTTAGCGGATGCGCTTCTGTCCCAGGTCCGATTGTGCGTCAGATGAGCTTGGCAAGGCGCTGCAGTCAGCGTTGCACCTCAGAGCTGTCAGTTAGGGAAACAAGCAATGACATAATAATAAAGACTCGGAGGTCGTCCGCGCGGATTTCTTGGATCGGCGCTGGGCCCCCCTCCCTGGCGCGCAGAGCGCGCCAGGGGTGGCGCCGGAGGCGCCGCCAGGGGGTCCCAGCGCCCCCAAGAGGCCCCAAAGAGAGCACAAGAGGCCCCCTAGCGGCCCGCCAGAGGCCTCATGAAGCCCCACAGAGGCCCAAAACGGCCCCCAAGAGGCCTCCAAAACTGACAAGAGTCCCCTGGGAGGCCTCCCACGAATTCCAAACGAACTTCCAAGAGGCCTCTAACCCACAACCCAGGCATGGTGGCTGGATGGACCGAAGGCCACTAGATGAACCAATACGCCCAAGACGGCCTCCAGACGGCCCAAAATGCCCCCAAGATGCCCAATAAGCTTTTCCGTAGCCATTTTTGCTCAAGCCTTCCGCAGTCGGGTGCCCCGACAGCGCCCGGGATCGCAACGCGGCCTGCCGCGAGCCCTGGGTCATGGCGCGCTCCTGGCTCCTCCTCTCCAGGTGTGCCGTGCCGCTCGCGGCGGCGACTGCCTCCGCGGGCCGCGGCCCCTCCGGCGGGGCCGCGCGCTCGGAGGCGGACGTGGGCCACGAGCAGGAGTGCGAGCACGCGTCCATCGGCTTCGAGGCCCTGCAGACGGCCTCTGCGCTGTCGAGGCCCCGCCCCGTCCTCGAGCGGGGCGCGGGAGGGGCAGAGCGCAGCCAGCGGAGCGCCGTGGAGGGCAACCCGTACGTCCCGGGGCCCAACATCTATCTCGCAGACCTCGTGGACCTCGACAACTACTGGGGCTACTGCCTCGACATCGCTGGGTCCCCGCCCCACCCGCAGTGCGACAGCATCCAGGGGCACACCTGCAAGTCGGACGGTGCGGACACCCAGTTCCGGTACGACCCCGACACGGAGTCGATCGTGTCGCAGAATTTCAACGGTATATGCAATCCGATGTATGACGGGGAGCAGGACGGAAGGACTTGGCAGGCGGACCTGAACAACACCCGCGGCGGTTGCCTCAGGGTCGCTGGGTCCCTCGAGGCTGGGACTGGGCTTGTCATGGTAGAGTGCCGGGCGCCCGACTCTCTGCAGAAGTTCAGGTACACCCCGAGCTGGCAGTTCGCCGTGGTGAACACCAGCCTCTGCCTCGTCCTCGGGAAGGAGAGGGCCGAGCAGGACGGCTTCTCGTCCCGCACCGTCGAGCTGCAGGAGTGCGCGTCGTGGCCAGCTGAGCTGTCAACCTGGACGGTCATCACGAGCACCCACGAGAAGCATTACCCAGAGCAGAGCCCCAGTACTGCAGGTGATTCTTCCACGTCTTAACAACTTGCCTTGTTTTTTTTCAACTCCATCACGATTTCTCCGAATGCAGCGATCATTCATGACGGGGTTGCCGGTTGGTAGTCCGGCGCGCTTTTGCGACGGGGCGTTCGGGGGGAGGGTCGTTTGGGGCTGGGGGGGTCACATTCCTGGTTTTGGGGTCCTGGGGGGGGGGGGATTATGGGGGCGAATTTCGCGCGCCTGGAGACCCACAAGGGGTCGGCGGATTTTGTGAATGCCCGACGCTGTCGAGCCTGGAACCCTTCGCAGCAGTTCTGCCACAGCGGTCTTCGCCACGCTACATTTGCGATGCTAATGTGCATGTAGACCCTTCCTCCAATTGGAGAGCCCACGATGGCCCCAAGATGTACCCCACACGGCCCTATGCGGAGTCCAGATAGCTCCAGATAGCTTCCGAGGCGGCCAAGACGCTTCCAAGACATCCCTTAGGAAAGCCCGAAGAAGCTAAAATCATGATTTCAGGTTGGCTTTTGAAGGATCTGTGCATTTTTTTCTGCCTGCCGACGGTCCAGATGGCCTAAGAGGCTTTCAAGATCGCCCCAGAGCACCCAAGAGGCCTCCACGATAGCCCCGTGACGGCCCAACAAGTCCCAAAGGAGGCCCCAGGAGGGCACCAAGACGGTCCAAGAGGACTCAAGACGCCTGAGATTGCCTCCAAGACAGCCCCGAAGCGCTCCAAGCGGGCTCGAAGACGGCGAAGACAGGCCTCAAGGACGACTTCCAGCAGCGTCCTGCACGGGTGCGCTGAACTCCTTGTGGAGCACGATCCGTGAGAAGGGCCGCGCGAACACGCCCACTGGGGCCTCAAGTGGACCTCTGGGCACGCCTCGTGCCAGGCATGTTCCGAAATGGGTGCGGGGGCGCCATGCAAAGATGCCTATTCTGGGGCATGATTCGCGTGACAGGTGTGCCAACATGGGCGGGTGGGGGGCGTTGTGCGAACCTTCCGGGCCTTTAGGTTGTGCTCCTTGTGGGCACGATCCACGTGATGGGGTGTGCCTCAATGAAACTACACCAAGCCCACGAATTCCAGAACCAATTTCCGAACTTCTACCGAACAATCCCCCGAACAGGCACCGAACAAACCCCTGAACAGGAACCGACAAAAAACTCCGAACAGGAACCGAACAAACCTCCAGACTTCTACCGAGCAAACCTCTGGACCTCCCTGGAGAGGCCTTCTGGGGCCGCCTGGAGAGGCCTTCTGGGGCTCGAAGGGCCCCCCCCGCTTTCGGAGGGGCCGAAGGCGCTCCCCAGACGGTCCAGGAGGCCTCCGAGACGGTCCAAGAGCGCGCCAAGACGCCCAATATGGCTTCTAGACGGCCCGAGAGGCCCCCCAAACCCCCCAAGAGGGCTCCAAGAGGACACTTATGAGGGCCGCAAGATACAACGTCCCAATTCTCCGGGGGAGCGTATATTTCTAGCATCTTCCCTTTTTGATCTAAATAGCGTCCACGACAGCATCAGAGAACCCCAAGATCGCCCCAGGACATCCCAAGAGGCCTCCAAGACGGCCCAAGAGGCCCTCAAGATCGCCCCAAGACGTCCCACAAGGGGGCCCCAGACCCCCCCAGAGGCCCCCAAGCTGGCCCAAGAGGCTCCCAAAGCGCCCCAGGTGTTCTGGAAGATGGCTGAAGAGCGCAATGATATGGCTCCCAGAGCCCACAAGCGCTCGAAGACAGCCCAATGCTGCTCCCAGACGGCCACAATGGCCTTCAAGACGGCCCACGAGGCCGCCGAGAAGGCCCCCCAAGGGCCGGAAGGCCCCCAGGAAACCCAAAACAGTGCCCAACCTAGTCTCTAAGAGATCCCGAACCCCCCCGCAAGAGGCCCAAAATTGTACTCCGAGAGATTTCCAAAGAGACACAAGATACGTCCATGAGGCCTCTGGCCCACACGCCAGGCGTATTCCTATAATCGGCCCCAAACCACCGTCAAGACTGCCCCAGAGAGCCCCGGATCGCCCCCAAGACGGTTTCGAGGAGTCTCCGAAGGCCCAAAGAAATCGGGGAATTTGGGGTTCGGGTTAGATGCTCATTCATTCAGAGGGCAAAGAATCCATGCGCGAACCAAGCATGTCCATCTCTCGTTTAAGTGCCGTGTGTGATAGATAATACTGGGGTATGTAGTTGCGTGGCACTGCAGCCTAGGGTTAGCAGCGCCTTTCGCGCAGCAGTGTCCAGCGAGCTGCAGCCCAAGGTAACAGCTCATGTACAGTGCTGGCCGCTGCATCCCTGGCATCTTCTGCTGAGAAAGCAAGCGAGAGAAGATCTCCGCGGCAGAGCTATCATAGAGAAACAACATGGCGGGCGGACGGACGACGGATGTCGGACGACGTACGAAGACGACGGGACCGCCCATGGGGGAGGGGACCTGGGGTGGCCTTGGGGTGGCCCACTTTTCCCAAACTCCCCCCGTCGCAACCCAATTGGCCCCCCCCCCCTTGGCTCCGGGATCCGCTTTGGGGTCTTTGGGTGAGCCTTTCGGCCTGAAGAGGGTTCCGCGCGGGTTCAGGAGGACGCTTTCTGGCCGCCAAGATGGCCCCTTAGTGGTCCAAGGCGCTCCAAGATGTTTCAAGGCTGCCTCCAGGAGACACAAGATGTCCCAGTGGAGCTCCCAAAGGTCCTCCAAAATGACCCCAGCGAGCCATAAGCGCAAAAAGCATTCAGGTTTCTCCATATTCAGTAAATCTCACGCTCGTCTCTTTCAGATGGCTTCGGGAGATCTTCAAAAGGCGCCGAGGCTCGAGACGGCCCCACAACTTCGAAGAAGAGCCCAAGAGGGCCCCAAGCGGGCCCCAAGGCTTTCAAGGTAGCCCAAGCAGGAATATCTACAAGAGGCCCGTACTTTTCAAGCCAGCCCATTGCATATTCAAGCCAGATTTGTTATTCATTTGTTGAGGAAGTTGTTTGGTACAAGTTCGCGGATTCGTTCGCGGCCAAAAATTCGATGCTTTGTTCTTTTCATTTCTTCGGGAAGTTGTTCGGCAGAAGTTCGCGGGTTTGCCGCATCGTCGTGCCGCAATGGCCCGGGGGCGGGCAGTGCGAACCCTGCCTTTGGGGCCGTGGGTGGAGATCCCTGTGGGCTGTGCGAGGTGTGCCGAAGTAGGCGGGATGGCGGGATACGAACCTCGTCTTTTGGGCTGTCCGTGGATGTCCTTGCGGGCCACGATCCGTGTGAGAAGTGTGCCGAAGTGTGCAGGGCGATGTCATGAAGCTCCCCTCTGGTGCCGCAAATGCATTTACTTGCGGGCACGGTCCGCGTGAGGGGCGTGCCACTGTGCGAACCTCGTCTCTGGGGATGTAATTAAGTGGGTCTCCCTGCAGGGCGCGATGCCTGCGAGGGGTGTGCCGGCATGGGCGGGTGGACCCTCAGCCAAGCCTGTCTGAGGGGTCTCAGGTGGAGATCCCTGAGGTGCACGATCCTTGTGACAAGAGATGTCCTCCGATGCCGGACACTCTAGACTACAACTGGAGCTCGCTGGAACCTAAGCGCGCGCGAAGCGCGCGCGTGGTTCTAGCAAACATCTGTTGGCTCTCCGCGCGGATTTCTTGCATCCGCGCTGGGCCCCCCCGGCGGCGCCTCTGGTGCCGCCCCTGGCGCGCTCCGCGCGAAAGGGAGGGGGGTCCAGCCCAGATCCAAGAAACCCGCGCGGACCTCCAAGAGTGTATGTGTACGTTTTTTTTGTTTTTTTTTTTTTGTTTGTTTGTTTTCTTCCTCCACTCCCGAGTAGTAATTTTTTGGAGGCCCCTGAGTCCGACGAGGGTCGGCCACTGGGCAGGGGGAGGGGGGAAGCCTTCTCAGAGGCACCCCTGCTTCTTAGGAGGCGCGGGCCTTGTCTGCAGATGCAACGCCGGCGCCTTCTGAGAAGCAGCCCCCTTCTGAGGAGCCCTTCCCCTCCCCCCTGCCCCCCCCTGTGTGGGCGCCGCCAGAGGCCGAACAGCTGCGGGAGCCACCCGCCGCGACCTGCCACGCCTTCGCCGGTGTGCGCCGCCTGCCTTCCCCCGGGCGCGCCGCCGAGCGTGCTTGGACCAGCCGCACAGCCGAAGCCTGGAGCGGGGCAGTCCGACAGCACTGGCCAGTCGGGCATGTCCCTCCACAGGAGGAGTGCCCAAAAACTGTAAAACAAAAACAAGCAGTCTGGGGACGATCTTGGAACTTTTTTTTGCCATCTCGATGTTTTGGTACGTCTTGGCCGTTCTCCATCTTTCCCCCAAAGTCCGCCTGTAGGAGGACATGCCCGACTTAACAGCACCTTCCTTTCTCTTCCCCTCCTTGCTCCAGCGCGCGCGTGCTGGCATCGAAGAAGAAACAACGTCATAAACAGAAACTTTCCGGGCTCCGCGCGGATTTCTTGGATCCGCGCTGGGCCCCGCCCCGCGGCGCATCCGGCGCCGACCCTGGCGCGCTCCGCGCGCCAGGGAGGGGGGTCCAGCGCAGATCCAAGAAATCCGCGCGGAGCGCCACAAGTTTATGTTTATGTTGTTTTTTCTTGAAGGGCGGCAATCGCCGTTTTAACTCGACTCAGTCGCAGGCATGAGATCGTCAACTGCTGCATTCCCAGACATGGGGTGCCCTGATTTTATCAGCACTGGGTCCCCAGAAGTCCCGTCTCCTTCCCTGGGACTGTTTTTCATCCCGAGTAGTTTTTTGATGGCCCCGGGGCCCGATACAGTGGATACCCATGTAAATAAACACCCTGCTTGTTTCCAGGGTGCCCTGGGTCTCTTAGGTTTCGATGGTTTTGCTGTGGAAAGCGTGACGCTCCCACACCAAAAATCAGTGGACGTTCTTGGGTCTTAGGGTTGGGTTTCCTTTGGAAGGTTTCTTGTGGTCGAGCTCCTACAGTCAACCCGCATGGTCAGGATGGGCAACCTTCCCAAGGGCACCCTTGCATCCTTGCCTCCTCGGTCCATCATTGGCCGCTTTCCTTGGCCGCGCCCCGCCAGCAAAGTGTCAACATGGACTTCTAAGGCCCTCGC